GCTTCATATTCAACCATAATTTGCCAGAGTATGCTATCTTACATTTTTATCGGCGATCTCCATATCGTCGATACAGACGTTGCATTTGTGGACAGCGTCACACTCGAGCAAACAACCTTTTAATTTAAACGCATATTAGCTTCGTGTTACCTTGACACTGATTTTATAAATTTCTTGAATAAATATTCTACTGCACTAAATTACTGCCTACTTGGATTCGGTTGAAGATAATTCTCAAGGGCACTTAAGATTTGCTTCGTATATTGTTCTGTCTGATCAGCGCGTTGCAACAAGTTCTCGAAACTGGCGTCCAATTCGGTTTTTTCCGCCTTTCCCAACTTTTCTTCCGTGAACTAAAAATGAACATAGCAATAAAGATGTGCAACGGCGAAAACTCATGAACAGTGCAAAGTACTATTCAAAAGAAAAGTGCTATCTACAAAGAGAAACAATTATTATGCAAAATTATTTTACAATCTCTTATTGTGCTGTCACAAACGGAAGACAACGCATAAAATGTTCTTTGGTTAAGGACATCTGGTGTTTCGGACCAAGCTCAGTTCATCTTCAGAGTACAAGACTCTGTAAAAGACTTAGTACTCTGAAAAAGAACCGAGCTTGGTTTGAAACGTCGGATGTCCGTAATTAAAGAACATTTTATGCGGTCTTCCCGTCTGTGACTTAACAAAAGATTATATCATCTCCCGCATAACGAAATCACGTACGTTTTTCAATATCTCTTATCAAATCATTTGAGACTATTTATCACATATTACACTGCATCGTGTATTCACATATCAACGTGTGCGTCGTTGACAACTAAATACCTACATCTATGACCATTCTGTCATTCCACATTTGGATGACACACACACGACGCAGAGTTTCCCGTTACGCACATCTCCCGGTCTGCGAGATTCTAGACATATGAATTACATGTGGTTCACCCACTTCCTGTGATTAAACTACCACCGTTTCGATCTTGTACCACAGTAAAGACTTCAACCACAGTTCTTTCAAGCACTTGTCATTCTTCCTCAAGACGTAGCCATAACGTCGTTCTCATAGTGCAGTGCCACATCGGCTAAGGAACGAGCACTGCTTGCAAAATTCTTTTCACTGATAAGGATTCACTTAGGAGTCTTGAATGACTCACACTGAGGTCCGTTACAATCATCATCTGTTTCACTGGTTCTCATACTCCGCCATTCCCTCAGGTTGCGAGGGCATCATACTGACATACTGAGGAAGGTTTCACAACGTACCGACCGCGCCCTTTGCCACTGGGGCATGCTCAACGTACAGGATTCAAAAGCGCCACAGCCTCGGTTTGTGAGCTCGAGTTATCTGTCACTCAGAACTGTCCTTGTCCGCTCATTATTTGACCTTGCGAAAAGAAATCGTTTTGAGTATTTTTTCTGACTGCATGACCGCGTGTCTAAACCACTGCAATTGCGATCTCTCCATATGGATAAAGAGCTGCTTATAAGAGAGGCTATCTCGAACTGCCCAACTCGAAAGCTTAACAAGCATCTTTACATAAACAATCTTTCGAAGAAAACTTATTTCTGTCGTTTGGATCATATATATGCAAATGTGCAACATTAGTAAAAAGCTCAACTTCTCGTCTAACTATTCACTACATGAAATGTTCAACATGGAGACTGTCCAAATCGCCATCAGACTTTCCAGGATGCATTAAGTTACGAAGCTGTTCTATATGGTAAACAAATGCGGTTTGACGAAGTATAGCAATAGAGACAACTTCATATAGCCATGCCCTTGCGCAGATGGTGCTCGTCGTTGTTCAATCAATATCTCGCTCGCGAAACGAAGAGTGCTCGAGATTATAGTCTTAATCGTCGAGACGGTAATACCTTGGAAGCGGAATCTATTCGTTACTGATCTGAAGAAAGGGCACCAAACAGTAAAATCTCTCATATTCACGTCAAAGAAAAATACAGGAACAGTGTAGATAATCATTGGGATAATACAGACTGACTTGAAAAAAGATAGCGGGGCGTTACTGCTCAGTTCTTACTTCATAAATACATAACAATTTTGATTCCAAGCATCTATTTGCATTGCTAACCTTTGCCCGGAGAAAGCAGTTGTATAACATCATATTTCAGATGATAAACTCTGTTACGCCATTTTGACGGCTGCAGTTCGACATTCATAAAAATATGTTGCTTAATAAAAATTAGCTTTAGTGACTATGATGCCGTAGTGGTTTCTTTTAAGTTTTTCCTTGTTTTCAGCAGAAAGATGTACTTTGCTACTGTTAGAGATCAAACAAGGTGGAGAGGGGCTGGGCAGACAATGTGAACCATCTAAGAGCCCTGTCAAGTTTGATTCATTTGCCCATTCTAGACGACAAATTTTCATCGGTACAGGATTCGTGCCCTAATGCGTTAAATTATCTTAACCTTATGAAAAGTCATTTTCTAGACTGTTAAGCAGACGTTAAACGCTGGGTAATTAGAAATCAAGTGAAGCAAAATTTCTAGTTTCTAATTTAGATTGTACCCCGAAGAAGATGTGAATGTGTGGAATCGAAACGCATTGGAAAGATAGAAAGAATTGAAGATGATCGACTCTTGCATGCTGTACTTCTAGCGCGACGAATTGAGCGAATCTGACGATGAACGACTTTTAAAAACATGTCATCTTCGATACATCCTGGCTAACGAGCGAGTTCTGACTTCACGTTTGTTCGTTCGGACGAATTCGCCTCGAAAATGAAACCGAATGTATCGAGAATGTCAAACAGTATTTTACGCCATCAACATGGAGACCGTCGAAGCGAAGTTCGAACGACCAAGCTAATCGAAATCGATTATCCAATTAGAAGAATGGAAGATTTATCAATGGCGATTAAAAAACGCTGCATAATTTGTTCACTAATATCACACATAACTGCGGACATTGCTGCATTTTAATTCCAGTTGTTTTTGCTACTCCAAGTGACGCGTGCACTCAATTCGAACTTAGTGCGGCGAAAACTGGATCGACACGACAACGGCTTTGGACTAAAATTGTTCATCCGTCCGGCAGACTGTTGCGAAGAAGGCCAAACAAATGAATATGAATCGACCAACCAACCAGACTTTTCCAACTTTTTGCCCAATGAAGTAATCGGCAGCACAGTTTGATGGATAGACGGCGAGAAACGTTTCAAAAAGTGGTATTCCGCATTCTGATCGACTTTACCAGGCACATTTCTGTTTAACCTCTCCCGGTTTCCTCCAGCCATTGACAGACTCCCAACGTGACGTTGACCTGCCGGTGGCGATGGCGGCGGCGATAAATGCACAAAGCGGCAGACGAACGGATGCACAGATCAGCGCATAACACAGCAAAGACAGAGAATACACGCAGCTCATTCGTACGAGACGAGAGCGGAGATGAGGTAGAGTTTTTCCGCAATATCTTCTCTGTTCGTAGATCCACTTTCACATTTTGCACGTGCAAGGCTTCGAAATATGGAAAGTTGTCGATGGCCACAAGACTGCGTGTGAGCAGTAACTGATCAAACAGACAAACAAACCAATTTCTCTGATATTTTCAGCCGCCAGACTAGTAAACGTGGTTATAGTCTTTCATGCCCGCCAAACAACACAAACACCGGAAACAAAAGGGAACGGCGGACCGAGAACCCTCTGAAGCAGATGTATAAACGTTGAACGAAAGCAACAGATTCCAGCTACAGTAAAATTCACATATGAAAACTTGAACGGCAGCTAGAAAAAAGACTGTGAATTTTTCGCATTGTTTCCAAGGACTACATAGAGCTCATTCAATTGTGCAATATATACGCTACAATTTAGGAGTACTCGAACAACAGCCATAAATATAACCAAGCACGCCTCGGGGAGAAGCACCAATCAGCGAAATGTCAGACTTTTAAACACCACGGTTTAAAGCCTAAAATGCTAAAATTTGCCGAATATGATACGCTGATCCGATTACTTGAACGGCTCTTGAGAAAACTGCTGCGGCATCACTGGTGAATCTTTTCAGATTGAAATCCATATTTCGGCGCTTCCACTAGCAAACACTCACGAACAACTCTTCTACGGCGAAAGTACTGGCAGCCAGTGACAGTAGAGGCGAGAACAATCAAGTACATTTTATTATCATTTCAATCTACCAAAGGTAACTGTGCACAGGAAACTTGCTCCGGCCAGTAACTCCGCCTACAAGTGATTATTCATTGATTTTGTACTGCTTGTCGAGGGTGAATGTTAGAGCAGCTGGAGGGGTCGCTGCGGCTGCTCAGTACAAGATACTTGAAAGTTACGGCGATGGTATGCACAAGCAGGATCGTGTGTACTGAGGTGAATTGGAAAAATGGGAAGTTCTTGGATGAGATCACATTACTGTACCATCAAGCTGCTAGAATAACGGATGGATGGAAATTAATCCGATCGGTTCAGCATGATTACCTTAACTACGTTACAACAGTTGCTCGCTAGTGCATGTACCAATGTGTGTACCTTTACAATGGCATGGGGTTCGAAGATTGGGTTTGAAAGAGCGATGGAAGCGATTCCGATTGGCAAAGCACATTCAAGCTTACTTCAAACTAAAGGACAACAAGCACAATAGGCAATAAAGACGAATTAATTTCATAGTAGAGCGGTCACTACACAAAGGTGGTATCCAGACTGAGCCAGTCGTATAAAGTTTCTCTGCCATTTCACGCTGATGTGAGTTTGTTATGTTAGGGTGACTTCCATAATATTCTTCTTTTAAAATTAGGAGTTTTCTAATAAAATCATAATATTAGGGTTAATATTGTGCAAATATCTTTCTTTCTTCGGTTCAATTCTTTCTGGACTACTTCAGAAGTACTCGTTCAGAAGAAGTGGTCCCTCAGAAAGCCCTTTCCCCTATGTCTGTATTTTTCTCACCTGCCTGTTCTGTAGACCAGAAGTTGCCGCATTTTTTCTTTTTCCAAAATTCTCGCAATATGGCTGTCTTCAAAAGTGTAGTTGAAGTGTGACCTTCGTTTAACTTCTGTGGTGGTTATATTGTATCTTAGGCAAATTGAAACTTCCGGGCTTCTGTGCATCTATCGTTCTTTCCATACGATGTACAGGCAATTGAAACTTTGTACACTTCCGCTTGCATCTGTCATCTACATTTCTTTCAGATTTGCTCATTTCTGTTATCTTTGCTTTTTCTATGCTCCTGGTTGCATTACTGTAAGGAACAGCTTGCAATCTTAGCATATTTCATAAAAACCTCTTCAGTAAATACCGTTAGGTGTATCAACAGTTGTTGATCAGTTATGCAGTGAGTAGTATTTTGGCTTTCGGCACATTGATGCAGAGTTCAGATTTCGGCGTGATATGAAATTATCTAATAAGCGGCTTGTTTTACTGAGCAAGGAATTTAATTCATTCTGTTTCTGTGTAACAAGACGAAACACAGGTAGCAGCTCTTTGATTTGCAAGCAATATTAGCCACGTATTATGTCAACATACAAAACTGTACAGTACTCATAATCACGTCATCTGATACGTACACCTTACCCCTACGATTCTTCTTCGTCCTTAATGAAAGGTAAGCGACAGTGAAACAAAAAGTAAAATAACATTTTTATGGGCGAAAATTTTACTAAAACCATTATAATCTACTCACTGAACAACTTTCGCAGAGCCATCGAATAGCTTAAGGTCTCGATAAGAAAAGTCGAAGTTCATTTTGATAAATAATAAACAATATCAATAATAGCAACAATGGAATATGGTTTCTACAAGTTTTAGCCAAACCGCTTCAGGCAACAAACCTCGAATTACTGCTTTCTGAAGACATCTAAAGTTTTGCCAGTGCTATAATAGATTTATTATTTTCTACGGTTTTGTACACTTTGCTTAATGAATAAAGTTTTCTGCAACCGATGTGTTTCTCACAATTACAAATTTCCTGAATCTTATCAGATTCAAGATTTTTGCCAAATTAAAATTGTTACCAACGTTTCAAAATTGTCGCATGAACCGAGAGCTTAGTTGACAAGTAGGTTATCAACAATATTCAGCTTAGTGAATGGTTCAGAACGACTACTATGCGATAGCCGTGCGATATTGTAGTAAGAGAGAAAGGGCTGTAATGCAAGATGCCGATCGGTAGCTTTTTGCACGTTAGACCTTAGTTCTGACCCAACATACAGCGCACATTTCTCTTTAGTAACTGTTAATTCACATGAACAGGAAATTACTCACGCTTCACTCTTGTTCAACCAGTCGAAAAATGGCTAGTGTATCGCTGATCCTTGAATAATGGAGACAGTACTGGTATTTGCTGCTGTCGTATTTAAGCATGCGCGACGTTCAGACGTGCTGCTATACGTATGCACCTTTCTGTTGCAATTCACTTTGACACACTTGATAGTTCTTTAATAATGAGCGTTAGGTGTAAACGTATTTGTAATAATATGCACTTTTCGACCGAGCCTTAGACTCATAACACGTTTGTAGAATTTGAGCAGTGAGTTCATCTAATCGTTGCCTGTTTTTGCTTACTTGTTTTGTGGAAAGATGTGAACAAGTCTCTAAACTACAAATAACGTATTTTTGAAGCCTTAACGAAAAGATGCCATTTTGAAAATTCGAAAAAAAAATCTCTCCAACTTTCCTACGAAGAAGTTGTAGTCCACGGATGGACCATCTTGTGCTAAGCTTCTTAACTCAGTGATCCAAATGTTTCAAACAGTCTTAAAAGGGATAGCAATTGCAAGAATTCTTTGAATTGTCTGTTCACGCTTTGGTCAAATTTGTTCACAAGTGCTCTCATATCAATACAGGAATCAATCACTGTTCTTTCATGTCTCGTATTAATTTTTTAAATTTCTAATAGACAGCACTTTAGATATGCAAAACTTTATGCCACACGCATGTGCATTCAAAAACTCTTGCATCTGTCGTCGTCATCTGAATCATAGTCGACGAAAAGAACCATATCAGATCCATTTCAGATAGCCGGACTTATTTTAAAATCTATCGTTGCATCAGTCGTCATATTAATAGCCCGCAACAATGCCGTTTTAAGTAAGTGGAAAGTTTTCAAGCCCATTTTCACTGTTGCTTAAATATCTTGACAACCACATCAGGCGCTGATCCAAAATATTTTATTGTAGTTTTTTCGGAATTACAACGCATGCTAATCACAAAGCAGTAGAACCATCATATTTTAGCAGTAGTACCCAAACAAGTCACGAGAAATAAAATTTGTCATCCTGGTAGGTTAGAACAGCCAGATTGAATGGCCTTTCATTTTAGGATGGAGCATGTTAGCCAGCTGTTTTGGACCAGGAGAACTTATCGTTTCAGAAAATTATTATTGTTCCTTGTAATCATGTCACTATACATGTGAGGAAGCTGTCCAAACCTTAGCTGGTTTCAAGTGCCTTTAAACAAATTAGAAAATGACCAATTTATCTTCTTTACAAAAGGTGGCATTTTGTTTCTTCAGAACCGAACAAACAAACAGCCGTTTTAGCCATAATTCATTCATTGGGCAGTAATTAGGGTTCGCAAAAATTCGCAGAGATTTGGCAGATTATCCGTCTATCGTATGAACAGTTCTAATACTTGAAATAACGATCATGACGAGGGCAAGGTAACTCTAGTGGACAAAATGATTACATGAAGGATACTTGACATTGCAAGTTTTCGACTACCATGGAGCTATTGCTTTATTAAATGGACTTCTGGGCAGCTGAGAGCAAGAAGGCGGTGATGCAGGTCTTGAAATCTTGTCTTCGAGGAATCGTTCGTTATAGTTCGATAATGGCAATTCCAAGCACAATGTCTTTGAATGATGGATTGCATGGAAAGGCAATAACAGTTCGTAGCGTATTGTATGCTAATGATGGATGACATTGGTCGACCACGATAAAAAGTTCAATATCACCACTAATGAATTTACATGGGACGAACACAACACATTACAGTAGCTCATCCTCCACGTGCAGGATGGCATTTACCGGCAATGACAGTGCACACGGGAATGCGATAGTATTCGTAATGACTAGCCCTAGCATTCGAAGACCTGCAAAAGGATCAACGAGACATTTTAATAATATGTGACGCTTGAATAGATGCATGGTTCTTACGGATTTGCTGAACACTGGTTTGTGGTCATCCTAATGTAGCCACTAATCATTGCTACGCTGAATATGTCGCCCCTCGCATAGAAAAGATCCAACTGTCATTTGTGACATACCTTTGATTCGAATAAATGATTAGTATTAATTTAAGTAGTATCCGCCTTTTGTTAAAGTACGAGGAAGATCCGCAACAATCCTTTATTTCAAATGGGTGAAATAAGCCAAACTTTGCATAGAAATCATCCTCTCATCGACCTCAGGCGGTAGATGACAAGGATTTATTGGTAACGCGATCGTGATAGAAAGTGAGTGGTACTTTAACACATGGAATTCGAAAATGCAAATACAAATTTTATTAGATTAACATAAAACAAGAGATACTTCGAGTAATTGAGAAATTTAGTTGGCCAACCGCCGAGGCCACTGCTTGATAACCTGTCACTGAAACGAACCTGAAGCAATTGTGTCATGTTCGCTCCAAAATTTAAATACTGATTTTGTAAAGTAACATCAGCTAAATTCAGTTCTAATGCTCAGTAAGATTGTAACTAACGTGCTTTAGACACTTCTTAAAATCGCTGTTGCAAGCCATCTTCCAGAAAAAATTTGCTACTGGTCTACCAAACAGCGATAGCTATCGCTTTGAAATGTTGGCACAGCACAGAACTTAGAAAGCCTCAGTAAAATCAGACCCACTGTTTAGAAAGACGAATTTCATATATTTCAATTAAAAACTGCAACAGTTCATTGCACCTGCTGTTTATTATCGACATTTGAAACGGAAACACAACTGCCCGCGCTAAACAGAAACGACTAAACTGTAAACGATGTTAGTACAACAACAAAAATAGTCCAAACAACAAATTACAGCCAACAACGCAGCATAGAATAATAGGTGATAAATAGCAATAATTCGTCTTTCTTATGCATCAGGAAATGGATCGAACGAATATTCATTCGATTTTAAAAATCGCATAAAGGGTAAAACAATAGAAAAATATATCCAACATACCAGAATTTTCAAAATACCTATAAAATCGACACCAAAAAAGTTTTGGTTAAAAGCGACCAGTTCGACACTTTTTCATCATCTTCAACGTCTTCACCATAAGAGGGGCTTTAGAGACGGTGACCTTCTTTGAACAAACGATGTCGTCACTGTTGCAGATGCCAGAACGAAAAATAGTCTTGCCGCAGCCCTTTGGGTCACTGGAGATCCGCCTTCTCGATTCAATAATGTCTTCCGTGGTTGGAAGATTCTTAACCGCGGTACCGTATTTGAGCTGCCTACGCCTCACCTCGCGAGGAGCCTTTGCGTCCGCAAGCTTTGCCTGTCGAGCTGAAAAGACGAACGTTTACGTATCTCGCAAGAAGAGTAAAATAGAACATTTCAAGAGGTAAACTGTAACTTATGTATGGCCCTGGAGATTGTCAGGCAAACGTATTTTCGCCTTTACGGCTAATCAACAGATGCCCTACAGACGAAGATCATGGATATCTTGCACAGAACTGACTTTGCACGAACAGATAGTCTCCCAGACAATATATGCCTCCTCTTGTGCTCGTTGCTGTGTAAAATTTTCTAGAATGTATTTCTGTAGCCAAAGGTGTATAGCGTACCATGACCTCAGGGTCACCAGAACAGCGCAGCAACACCTAGAAGAACTTTGCGCTTACTGTCAGATATTATTAAAGGAAAATCCCTTGTCAATACTTTACTTTTCGACTTCAACAGTAATTCGTGAACATGTTACAGGATTCGGGCAAGCGAAAAGATACCTCAACCTCAACTGTGATTCGGCTATATTTCGCATTAGTCGTTCAAACGGCAGCAAATAATCAAGATTTCATATTTCAAAGAATCGGAAAACTGCCATTCATGGTAGCTATCCCAGACGATCAGAAACACAGGTGGCTTTATTTTATGAATATGAATTTCAGTCGGCCATCAAACTGTCAGAATAATGAACGGCAACGGATATGGCATCCATACAAATAACGACCAATAAAATTTTTGTCCGTCTTACACCAGACAGCCGTGGAAAGTTTTACGACATGAAATATCATAAGCTCTCTAAAGCTAAAGCAATGAAGCGTCAAAATTAGGAGTAGGATTCATTTATTAAAATCTAAACTATAAAAGCAACTGATCAATCAGTCAGTGCTGCTTTACCTCTGAAAATATATGATCGGTGTGCAATCTATACCAATGTTACATTTTCCGATCTTGCGCAACTGTCGTGGCCCGAATGAGGTTCAGTTCTTCCGCGAATTAACATCGTACGTTCAGCATCGCCTTGATCTTCCCCTCAATCGTGATTCAGACTCAACGGCATAGCACTCTTTTTCAGAGAGTCGCCATCTCGTCATATAACGTCGCCAAAACATTGCATCTTTTGTTCCTGTGTGCTTTCGAAGAACGAGGGTTGAGAATTTACAAATTTTAATATCTTCCTGGTAGGCTCAAAGGAAAACCGTGCTAACATTTCAGTTGTTAAACTGCACTTCGGCAATGCGTCAGAACTGAAATTTAGTTACGTCTCACAAAACTTAAGATGCATCGCGGGAAGCAGCGAACTAAGTGGCATTTATAATAATAAACAATGCAGTCACATCATTCTCGCTTAAACCGCCATGGTAAATGAGATTTATTGCACCATTCTTTCGAAGAACTTAAACTACGATGCTAATCTTTATTAGGAAAAGGCGCTTTATTCGAAAGGAGCAGCATGCTTATGTGACGCTTGCTAAATCAGCACGCCTCTCTGATGGCATATAAAAAGAGATGAGCGCTGCACTAAAAACGTCATAAAACAGAAACAGACGGCGTTCAACCATGAAAGTGTAGGGGAAACAGGCATTTCAATAAACTTTCTGTTTTCCCCTTATTCTGAAAGTAATATTAGCAGCTGTATTGCAAGCATAGTCTAAATCGCTGTCCTCTCACACCAGCGTTGTGATATTTATCATTCTACCTCGAAAGGACGAAAAGCCAATATTCACGGCAAGAATTTGAACCCTTCACGTTTGACCGCCAGTTTTACACTAAACCGATTCAGCGATCAGATTAGATAAAGATGTTTACTAGCTAACTAATCTAGCAGCAATGTAGCTTCTCACGGCCTGAATACTGTGACCTTCATTAGTAGTCAAGCGAAAACGAGAGCAAAACATTGTATTACGAGTCCTTCGCCCAAATAGTGAGATATACTGGACCAATAACGGCCAGCACAATCAACTACCTGCGAGATCAGCGAGATACAAATCCAAAACTTGACAGAGGCCTAGCTTACCATCCTGTCTGACCATAATCTTCCACTGGGCGAAATTAAATACTTTTGATACAACGGCAATCTTCTGATTTAAAAAACAGTTCCAATATGATGGTACATTGAAAAGAGAAACTCTCAGAGTCATCAAATGTGCAGTCATAAGAAACAACTGCATCTCAGTTCGACTTTTCCGATTCATCCCATGATGCTATCGGTATGACAGTGAAATGCTTTGGCAACGTTTTGCCACTAACAATGCTACTGCCTTGGATCAACAAATTAGCCAAAATTCTAACGATATTTTTGCCGTTCGCATCGGCAATAGCACTCTTTCAGCCGAGATAACCACAGAAGAGTGGAAGCGCGCGATGAGGCTTAAAGTTAGACAGCTTAGCCTTAATGTGTTCGTTAAACGCAAAAAAAACAGCAGTGCCGCATCGAAACAAATAATGGCCTAGCATAAAATTTCAATATGCATTTTAGGAAGAAAAATAAAAACCGTATATTGGCACGGCACTACTTAGCTTAACTGCGATCGACTAACTATGCTTTTTATGAGATAATGGCCAAAACCACATGTGAGCGACCTTGCCTAAATTTATATTACCGTTGTCATATATTACAAGTGAACCGCTTAAGAGCATTGGTCGCTCAGCCATACACAAAAGAAATATTTGGATCGTAATCGAAAAAGTTAAGAATCAATACAGTACACGCTATCTGGACAAGAATGCCTTTTTGGAACGTATTTTCTGGTTTCAGAAGGTTCGAAAATCAGCGGCTATCAAATGAATCTTTCATATACAGCGAAAGAAATGAGTTGTCGAAATTCGACTGGACATCCACCTATTCTTTTTTATGATGAATCATGCGAAATTCAAACCACCACCAAAACACTGACTGAAATGTCCGCTAACTTCCCGATACTCTGAATGCTGAACAAGCCAAATCGTAACAACAAGTACGGAACGCGTTAACTCAGTTTATTAAACTACTACATACTTGGTCCTTGTGCGGCCTTGTTGGCAGAAATTGCAGCGGCCAATATTTGAAATTTCTTTTCCCTTTCTTTAACTTTCCGCTAAAAGTACCATACAGATTTGCTTCAATTCTTTTAAGTACTTCGTAGAGCTCGCGGAATGTTTCTCCACTCTCCAAATCCGGATTAACATCGCTGAAGTCACGACCACAATGCTCTTGCCACAGCGGCTCCGTGTCTTCAAGAAGGTACTAAAATATTCGTAAACAGCAGCAGTCCTACTTCAGCACTGCATGAAGTATGTAAGAATCACATAAACAACGATAGATTAGTTGCTGCAATATCGATCGCTCAAGTAAAGATACTCGATACTCAAACAAAGACTTAATAAAATACTCGCTGCGGCGCCGCGTCTGTGCCTTTCACTGTTGTTAGGCTCATTTAAAAGACTATATTCTGACGCCTTATGATCATAGGAAATTATGCGATAAAAATGAAAGATTCTGATTTGACGGACTGAACTGAGATAGTGTTGAGAGAGACATTTGTTAAATAAATGCGCAAGATTTTCTCACATCCTTTTCCCAAATCTTATCACTTCATTCAAAGGTCTTTTGACTACTTGTTCAATGTCAGTCATTGGACGATATCACTGATCTTCGCGGCAACGCCACTCCATCGGCGACGATGGCAAAGCGTTCTGCAAATACGTGCCTGTCAAATACTGAGAATCCATAATCGAATAGCAGAACATTGTAAATTACTACGAGCTTTAGCTAGTGTAATTCTAGCGCATAACATCTGATAGGAGTAGGAGTAATGCTGTCTATCAAAAATTACGTAGTAACCAGTCACGTGAGCGAACCACCCAAAGTTGTCGGCAACAGCAACATTCTGATGCATTTTATCTGACTGGTGTAACGTGTTGTTCTTTGCAAATCAGATTTACAGAAAGCCACAGCGAAGCCAGACCGGTATGCTTAGCTTTCGAAGATAAAAAGAACAAGTTCTACCGAGGCCTAAGGACAATGCTTGTTTTGCTTTTCCACAGCACAGGAATATCCTTCTGGATAGTCTAACGGAAGCCAAAAATTTAAACTAGAAAAAGGCAACGTACTTCAATATTTTTCACGGCCGAGGAACTAATGGCTATTTGACGTCAGCGTTGATGAATGATATTGTAAATACAGTCCGTTTATAACGTAAACGGCAAAATGTAGTTGACACAACATCTTATTATGTCTAGTGCAATCCTCAAGGCATAATGGCATTCACTTTGCAAACTGTTCTATTTAATCTTACATACACATTAAAAATAAAGATACCGGATTGAAACGGCGAAAATGCACAGTTTAAAAAAAGAAAAATGCATTTCTCACTTTACACCAGCAGCTCTATAG